ATATAACTGCGGATAATTTGGACAATACAAAATAGTTGACCCAAATATTTTTAAAGGAGCAGAAAATAGCCAAACAGGTCCAAATTTGGGCGCGTCCAAGGCAAAGGCATTGGCAGAATTTTCCATCTTTCTTGAACATATTCAAGAATATATGGAAGAACTTATAACATTGAGCCAAGAAAATGTTACATTTAACCAAGCAGCCAATTCAGACTAACAGAATTTGGAGGAATTTGATCTAAGCACTAATTTGTCATTTCAGGGGAACTGCACACTCCACAACCTTATGAATTACAACCCAAATGGGAATGTATATCAAAAATGAATTCATTAGAAACAATTGAATCCAAATGGGGATCACAACAAATGCACCGCAATGAAAAATTACAAGTCAACAAAGGCAAGAAGGGGCCCAAACTAACAGTAGTGAAAGGTGCCAAATATACTTCAGTGCCTACTTACCATTATGGCACTTGTAGTAAGGACGCAAAGGTGAGCAATAGAGAAGGGCCAGGAGGCCCTACTAACCACTCCTGAGGTTCACTGGGCGTCCCATTAGAGATAGGACGTTGAACATAGCGTGATTTAAGGCCTTACCATCCCAGGCCAAGAATTTGAGTCTCCTGCAAAACCCCCCTATGGACATCCTGGCAATAAAGGAAACCCACTGTCCACAAGGGAAGGAGGAGGCATGGGAACACATGCTCCTCCCAACACTATAGCTTTGGTCGCATAACTGTGGGGTGTTAGTATGTTCAAACCAATATTTCAAATCTAATAGAAATTCATTTTTGGATGGCTACATATTTGTCATTTTCTTCTCCTGGCATGTTGAGGTGCATACAATAGTCAGATTATATTCACCAAACTGCGCACAGGATTGTTGGGAATTTCTCTCAGACTTGAAACTCCTCCCTCTCCCCACTAACACCTTCATTATGGGAGAGATGAACTGTTGAGTCAGTCTAAACACTTAATAATGGCCACACACAACGGAGGCACCACAAGGACACGTTAAGCTTCGCGTGCTAAGATCCCCCTTAGGCCTATATGATACCTTAACCAAACTCTCACCTCTCCTGAAGAACATGACTTGACCTCATGTTCACAATGGTAATTTAATATCTATGTCGCGCATAGACTTTGAACTAGCATCATTAATTTCCTGACACCAAATTTTTGATTTTAGACCACGAAATTAAAATTTTCAATTACAGGTTAGTTTTGGTGTCTTTTACTCCATCAAAAACAATTGCACAAGCACCCAGATAGTTCAGAACATACCCAGAAAGTTTTTCCAACTTCGAGTTTCTTTTTGTGTAAAGAATGTGTCTTTGACAAAAGATTTTAAAACACTTTTCTGTTTAGATCCACTGACCATCTGGTCAAACTTCAAGAAATTAAAAGTTCACCAGATCACATATAAGCATAATGGAGATTCTGGAAAGCTTCATCCATCATCAAGCGCACCTTAGCGGAAGTTGATCACCTGGAAAACGATGTCCCACTCACAGGATACATCCCTTAATAGGGCATAAATGGGCCAATGTGTCCTCACGCCTAAACGCTTTGGTAAGAGAATACCAACACCACATTAGTGTTCAATTTAAAGCAAAAATATAACATCCAGATAAAAATGGTCAAGTTATTTTCCGCTGATTTTTCTCTCATAAGAACACCATAGTCTGCACACAGGCCCAGTGTCTGGATACATCCATAGCGGTAATTCTGTAGGAAGTTGCAAACAAAGTAAACAGGGTTTACACAGATTTATATAAATCTGGCCCAGTCAAACCAACGAAAATCGTGAAATTCCTTACCAGTGCACATATCAGCAACGTGGGTTAAAACAATAATTTAATTAACTTAAATTTGTAAGAGTAATTAAGGGAAGCAGTGCGCAGTTTACTATGAGGTAAATGCTCTGGTGCTGATAAATTCCTTGTGAAGTTTATAAAATTATTTTTAATAACATATATAACATACTTTTAGCCTCTACATATAAATGCAATATGGAAATATGCCTTCTTCCTGGAGGCCAAGAAGCATATAAAGTTACTCTTTTAAAGAAAGGAGATAGATTAAACCTATCCAACTGACGCTCTATCTCTTTAACCAAAACTGACACCAAAATTTCATAAAATTGTGGCTAAAAGCCTAGGGGAAATAGCAACTGAAGTGGTATCCTATGCACAATATGGATTTGTCCCCAGAAGATCCATATGTGATAACATTCACACAGTTTCTAATGTCAGCAAGTCTAAAGCTTCTGGAGCGCTGGTTCTTCTGGATCAACAAAAAGCCTATGACGGGTAACTGGATATATCTTAGGGCCTGCTTCACAAGTTTAAACTCCCAACCAGATTTATAATTGGGTGATGCTGTTTATAGAATCAGCCACTATAGCAGTAATTGGATCAGGTTTTCTAGCTTATTTAGTTTTCCCACGGAGGGGACTCCGTCAAGGTGACCCTCTAAGACCTTTATTATATAATTTTAGCCTTGAGCCATTAATATGCAAAGCAAATGCTCGCATTACTGGAGTTAGCGTCCATGGCCAACCACCAGTCAGAATGATTGTATTGCAGATAACTGTGTGGTGGGTATCTTCAACTTCTATGACGCACACATCCCTTGAGATTACAATACAAGAATACTTCATGATCAGAAATGCATCACTTAATTCTGACAAAAATGAAAGCATCCTCCTAAGAAAACCAGACCTATTGGGTACCATCCACCTTAGATTAGCTGATTATGACACCCAAGAAGCTCCTCACACAATCTAGTAGGCGCAGTTCCTCAATCACCCCACTTGAACTCCCATTTAATTCCAAGCCTGTTACTGGACCTGTCCGCCACTTGGTAATATGTCTTATGTCAGGGGGATATGTCAACACTATGATGGATAATTATCTCCTGGACAAGGTAACAAAGCGCATTGCCTCCATTCATGGACAACACACAATTCTGACAATCTGAGTTGTGATTGTCAACTCCATGATATTATCAATCACTTGGCTCACGGCTCATGCAATCGTCTTTTTACCATCCTTTTTACAACAAAAATATTTCCTAATACAGGGGTGTTTTGGTCAAGCCAAAAAGCCCTGTGCGTCTTGATACTTTATTTGGCCCTAGTAATAATGGAGGTATAGGGCTAACAAATTATGTAGAACAAGCATTCCAAAGACTAGGCACCTGAATAGCCCTGGTAACAAGTCCAGATTTTCCAAACCTAACTTGGGCCATGCAACAAGATCAAACTTTGCATGCGCTATCCGTCTAGGAAACCCAAATCATCCAAACTCGTTATTTAGGTATCTGTCATCTCACCCAACCGCTGCAGGTCCACATGGCACCCCTGTACATTTAAAACGAATAAATCTAACCATGAGAAGAGCGGAATGGAAGTTCCACACAAGTGGGCAGACTAGCTAACAAGGCCTCCCAATTTTAACTTGCAGACAAGAAGTTCAAAACCAAGTTGTTATAAACAACATGGTACACCATAATCCAAGCACCGTTGTCAGGATTGATTATCTGGATATAATGGACATACCATACAATTTAGAAACCCAAAGGATGATCTGGAGATACACTCATCATCCTTTACTACAACCCCAGATCTGCGCCCATGTATTAAGATGCATCTGGAGAGTGTATTGCACTGTGAAGCAATCTAACGCCTTCCATTCTTCATGCACAGAGCGTGGCCAATATGGAAGTTTAGTACACCGCCTAGAGCAATGTCCGCCCTCTGTGGCTATCTGGAAAGAGGTTATGCGCTTATTCCTCTAAGAGAATGGTCAGGTATTCAGCCTATCTAGAAACATTTTTGCTCTCAACATAAAGTCATCTCTCCCTACATCTCTCCATGCACTAATAGTAGCAATAGCGCTATGGAAAATTCATACTGTAGTCTTGGATTCCTTTAAGGAACAACTTCTACCATATGTAGTTATAAAGTGTTTTCAATCCCATCTAGTGTAACATTTTCAGGCATGGATGTTTGGAAACATGACCTCACGCAACAGAAGGTTAATTAACTCATGGTTTCCAATCTGGTTTTTAATCACTGATCCTTTCCTTCGCTAATGTTATATTCAGGCATAAAGCTGGCATGAGTTCCCCCATCGTCCTAAAACTGAGATCCTGGCTGACAACAGGAGGGGCTTTGAACTCTCTGGGGTGTTCTTTATAATTATATTTCATTATTATTTATCACTATATTGGAAGTGTCCGTCCCTCTGATTGGCCTTTCCTGAATAAATAAGTAATGAGGCCAATTGACCTTTTTAATGCATCAGAAAATTATACAGGTTGATTTCAAGTCTCAAATTAATATATTAAAAACTACTGCCTGAGAAGCAGTAGTAAGAAAAAAATGCTAAAAGTTATACTAAGAATTTAAGATTTTATATAAGTGATAACTACTGTTTAATCACAGTAATGTAAATCAACAGGACTCAGTGCCTTAATAAAGTTAAGACTAGACATACATACTTAAACTCAATCATTACTCAGATTATAGAATCATAGTATATCATATGAAATTAGTAGTTCTGTTGCAACACTTTTACTGTAGTGTCCTATGACGTGGTAAAGATTTGCATTATTCTTACAAAATGTAGAGCCAACTCAAGTCAATCTGTCTACAAAGTTAGACCTCCAAGTTTTAAATTTAATGATCAGACTCTAGAGATATTATTTATAGTTAGATCTAATTATCCTCTTGATGACTAAACTCCAATATAATTTGGCTCCATAAATCAAAATATTAGTTACTTATAATGCACCCAAAATAAATTTTCATAATTCTCATACAGTATTACAATTTAATCAAGGATTCTAATTTCTTATATTTTATGTAACCTAATTTATCCTATAGGAACTTGTCACTTCTTGCTATCAGGTACTTAAATCCTAAATAATATATTTAGTCTTCTGGAAATTGTTTATTACAGAAAATAGACAAAAAACGTTAAATTAGAACACAGGTTTGAAGGCGAGTTGGTATGGCATATGGCTACTAACCTGAAGGTTGTGGGTTCGATTCCCACCCTTCGCACATCGATTAGAGTGCCAGCTTAAGAAGCTATTGGCGGTTAGTAGGTCTAATAACATGAAAACCTTACCCATGATGTAATTAGAAAAATCCGAGTCCCAATCCGGAGGTGGAAAAACTTTCTACGACCAACTTCGCCCTGCTCAGGTTTCATTTCGATACTTTCTTCCTATTTTGGTAATGTCTGTCCCCTGGTTGCTTGCCTCGAATAAATAAACATTAAACTAAAACACAATTCTTTGCAAAGTTGACCCCAGGAGGTACCAGTGTCATAAGTATCAGTGTTTTATTCCATGTGCTTTTAATAACCTCAGTGAAATTAATGATATATCAATATGATTTAAACCATGAAAACTGGTCAAAATATTGAAACTTTTATTTAATTAATAATTTGTAGTTTCTAATCACAGTTACTTTTTAGTCTCAAGCAAAACAAACTTCATGTAGTAATGTATGTGATACACTTTTCATCCATTGACACTTATTAAAACAGTAATCAATAGATATTAAAAATATACCTTATCAAACTAGAGCACTTTCTACCTATTTGTGTTAATAGAGGAGTAATCCAGCTCTTTCTTACTACCGATTGAATCATTATAAAATGGCAATCTTGAAGAATACTAAGTGAAAGTAGGGTGAACTGAACGTTAACTGTTTTTAGCCTACTATGCATCACTATAGATATTTGATGCAATTTCATTAATTTCCATGAATTCCTATTTATTTTTCCTCATTTAAAACTGCAACTTATTCTCGTTTCCTTCTTTAGATATAATAACTGAGATGTAATTATAGTAAATTTCAGACTTGGGGATCTACTTATCTTGGTAACTAATTCTAGAAAATATAGCAGTCTTTATATATAATATGATTGTCAACCATACTAGTTCTCCATGCTAATGACATCATAATTATAGCATAATCTACTAATAAAAACTTATCTCTGGATATGAGGAACCTTCTATGAAACTGGGCAAATTTTATCTTATTTTATCTCCTTAGAAGTTAAAATTGCAGAGTCTCATATAATCTTAACTTCAGAATACCTGTTAAGCCATCATTGTTTTTTCTGAAGTTTAAAGCTGGTAAACTTGATAACTCTATTTTATATTAAGGAGTTTGTGATAAGATTCTGAGCTTCAATGTCCTAGAACTATTAAGAAAGTAACAAAAAGTATGCAGTCAACAAGATAGTTAAAATATAGTATACTTTTTTTAAGATAGAACTTGTTGAAACTATAGGGTGTGTAGGCACCCTACCACAATAGGATAATCTAGGCTCACCACAATCAGGATCTTCTTGATCATTCTAAATTGGGTAAACAATGGCCTTTGCTGTTATCCATCATTAGTAGCCTTGCGACCCCTTTGTCCTAGAGCTTCTGGATCTAGTTTCTAGGGATCAGGAATCCTTCATTATCAGTTTGGTCTTTATGTATTCTGCAATTGGTTTGCCCAATAGATTTAATTTTGTTTTACCAACCATTCAGTTTTATATTAGTAACATCTATTTTATTTAGAATATTTATTTTTAGACAAAGATTTTGATTCCTCACCCTTGATTCCAGTATCAATCTCTGAATTAAATTAAGATGGATTGCATCAACGCCAATTTCAATCCTCAAGATTAGGTTATGGCAGATCATCTTGCCCACAAGCCCATGTTTTTATATGTATCTATTAATTGGTGGTATTAAATTACTATCAGTTTGCACTGGGACACGCTGGCTAAACTACTTAGATTTGATCCTTCCAACTCCACTAGCATTATTCCCTAAAACACCTACTAAAAATTTTTAAGGGTTTAAAGTGTTGTAAATAGAAACCCTTTTTATAATTATATTTTCTCCCTTGCTCCCCATTGGCATAAATTATTTCTCAGGGTTTTATCCACGACTAGCTAGGCTGATGGTTTCTACCATTTTTGGAATTAATCAAAAACTACTTGGTACTCAACTGGATAGGTTATTATGATGGGAGTGGAAAATTGAAGGGAGTCTATCCTTTTACCCAGCTTGAAAAAGCTATTTAATAAAAACCTTGGACAATAAAGTATTTATTATCTTAATTTAGGGGTTACTGTCTTCATACAGTCCCCTTTGGTTTAGTATAAAAGTAATCAACCTGTGTGATAATAAGTCAAATGAAGTGCAACTACAACATCAACCGTCTGTTCATATAGTATTTACTTAACTTTATAACCTTAACTAACATTTAGATAGAGGGTTAACATTTATTATAAACTATCTCGCCATTCAGGCCTCATCTATAAGTAGTTGCCAGTGTTGTTTAAATTAATATTATAAATCCAGGGCAGCGCCTTCAATCCCTAGTAATTAAAATGACAGATAAAATCCCTAATCCCCAATAGAAAATTTTTTGCTTCCTTAATTAACTGATTAATGTGACCTATGGCCTTAGTTTTAACTATCACATAATATGGTTTTTAATCTTAGTATCCCACCTTACCCCTGCACCAGTGTAAAAACTTTAGTAATAGGGTCATGGTAATACTAAGGTCATCTTCTGGTATCTCAAATGCAATCAGCATATTGCTACTATTAAAAAAGTTCCATGATCCCTAGGAATTTTCTTCACTGGCCTGATTTAGATATTTCACCTCTATTTCACTATTCATAAGTGTTGCTTGATAGCCAAAATTTAACCAAAAAGAATTCTGGAAATGAGAACGGTGTATCCCCTTTTAGGTTGGGACCATTTAGTGCTAAAAAAGAACCATGGAAATGAGTAAAGCATATCTAAGTGGTATTCATCTGGAGGTTATCTTTTTTTATGTACCCTGGAAGAAGTCTACATTTAAGAACATTACTTTAGTGAGACGCTGAGAAAATAAATATTTCACATTATAGTGTGCTTATTTGTTTTTTTTGTTAATAAAAACCTTATTATAAATGATAAAGTTTTCTGTTTTTGATTTTTCCAAGTTTACTGTCATCAAACATTACATTATATTTTTGTGTTCTGATAATCTGTTCACCTGAAATATGACGCCCCTGCACTGATTTCACATTTTCTAAATGCTGTGGCCCACATTTTGTTTCCCTTAGCATCATTTTTATTAAGTATGAATCCCTTTAACCCTTTTAAAGACCACTTCATTGTAGAAGTAGCACGACCTCTGAAGCTGCATTAGCTAACCACTAGGCCAGAAAATAATTATGATGCTATTTGTCAATTACATGCTGTTTTAATGCCAATGTCAGATATCAGGATATTGGATATGATAGGAAAATATTGACCATTTGACTCACGTGACAGAATTGACGCCTAGAACTGAAAAGGGGATAAAGAAGCTACCTTGATTAATCATATGAAAAATTAGTCTTCAGTAAGGCCAAACAATACTAAGAAAATTTTTTCAAATAAATTTGAGCCTAAGATACCCCAAGATTAAATCCTGCCTAATCAAAATGAAGGATCATTGGAGATCCAGGAAAATATCTCTCAAGGTGGCATATGAGAAAGTAAATTAAGACAAACCTAAAAAAGGGTTATAATTAAGAATCTTCCTCAATGATCAACCTAAGTGATACCAATTCTTATCAAACTTGGTACATACAACATATATTTATGCCCTATCAAAAGTATGCTACAAAGGTATTACACCATCTGGAATGCATTGCCTGACCAAGAGCCTCCCATAAGGAATTCCCCTTTCTTTACTTTTATCAATCATTTTCTTGGGTTTATAATGTTAAGTATGACATATAAAAATCACTTTTTATACTAAAATAAAGCTACGTCATTATTCTATATATCATTTTTATACTTGACTTCAACAAATCCAATTCATTGTACTTACCATAGGGTGGATACTCTAGCTGATGGGACATAAAATGGTGACTTTATAACCTTTAATATAAATATATGGCTGTGCGTCTTAGACGGCTTTCAAATATTGACTGTTAGTCTTCTTGGGCATGGCACCATCGAGCTCAAAAACAGAAGCCCAACTGGCTGATGCTCACTAAAGGGGGCTTGGCCAATGCTTAACAATACCTGCACCTAAATAATTGCACCATGGAATATAACCTGAATGATAGTGTCACCTGCTAGATGCACAGCGGGAATGATGAAGAAGACTTAATGGGAATTCTGCCCATCGTTACATTCAAATAAGTTCCTGAAAATCCTATGGAGATTACCAATTCTCGTCATCTAACATGATTTTCCAACAATTGAGGTTTTAGACTTATTTTGTGGAGTCATTAACCCAGAAGAAAGAGCCAACTGCGAAAGGGCATCTGATTTGGACAGGACTCTCATAAACCTATATGAAATCAGTTCTCCCTCAGAGAAATATGGTTCCAGTATGGATATCTCTCACTACAACATGTAATTTATACACCTTGCGCTCTATCATATCATTCATTTAATAAAAGTCCGGAATGAGGAACTCTACTATCATATCAATACCCAAGGTGCCTTACACAAGGCCTATGAACAGGTATATAAATTAGCATCACAAAGTATAGTTGACGTCCGCCATTTGATTGAAGCAAACCATGTCTATATTATTCAACTCCATAACCAAATAGGGAGCATTGATTCTGGTGTTATTAAGTATTTGGAGGAGGCTATGAAGCTTCTCCAAAAGGACATCCTGTAGTCAAACTAAAATACCAAAGATTACTTAACACCTTAACCCAAGAGCTCTGAAGACATGATATTAAAGCCCATTAAAAATGGCAGCTCAAGCTTATACTAGCCGCCATCATGAGAAAGAAAAAATCCTCCTCCTCAAATCCCATCTAGAGCAAGCCCTACGATTAATTGATGAGATGGAGGCCCATTGAACCTCTAATACTTCATCAGTATCTTAAAATAATATTTTTAAGTGGCTCATGTTGAGCAGGATCTGGCATCCTGTGAGACTCAGGCGTCTACTTTTTTTCATTACCAAATGACTCAACAAACTGAAGAGTGGCACTAGAGGTAAATCACCCGGTTGAGAAAATATTAATCAAGTATGCCGTCACCT